ATTTACCAATCTAAATTACTTGCGATAACACTGGGGTGAAGGGCAGCAGTAAGAAAACGTAAGACGTCGTTTTCTTGGCCTTGGACTGCACAAAAGCATCAACAAAACTGCGAGCAAAATCACGAGCAGAAACCCTGTGAGTTGCAATCCTCCATCATCTGATTCGCAGCATATGATTTTTCCCATGGTGATGTAATAATGATCAGTATAGTTGGTTAGTTGTCTTCGTCAATATATATATATATATAATGCAGTAATGCTAAGGACTATTTTCTGTTTTCTGAGGAATCTATAGAAAATTTGACCTCTTTGATAACGGAGGGAATCGTCTGTATAGAACCCCGTCGGATGCCTGAAAAACAAGATGGACAGTGCTCCGTTAAGGAGCCAACAACCAATTAGATAACTCCATGTAAGGCTGTTCCACATTAAAGTATTGTGGGCTAGCCCTACCTAGAGTTGTCTCAATGGTTATTGGCTCCGTAATAAAGCCAACTGTTGACTCTTTAGCATTATTGATATAAAATGATGTTTCGTTACATTTTGGTGAACTGAACTCTATATATACGTATAAATACAAAAATGGCACTATCATGTGAAAAAGGTAAAATTATTTGACTTGAGAAGCGTGTTTTCTAAAAGCATTCTTCATTTTTTTCTTTCCTGATGTTTATTTTGGTATTAATACTAGAAATAGCTCTCGCCTCTGCACTCAACAACAGACCCAATTCAAGCTTTAAATAGTGCGACATTCACGTGCGTTTGTTAAAATATTATTTTTAAATTTTAAAATTAGCCAAAAAATTATTTTAAATTTTATTTACTTTATTACAATAAAATATATATCCCGGCCTCTATATATTAAATCAGAATGTGCTGAGTCTAAGTGGCAGACTCGCATGATTCGGGATCTTATGTGGTAAAATTACATGCTTCGTTATTAGGCTTTGGTAGATATTAATTTACTTCCAAACCATAAATAAGTAAGTCTGAATTATCCATAAATCCGTTGATTATTTATGGTCATGTTATATGTATTAATTGTATTTTAATATTAATTCTTATTATAACCGTTGAATTGTAAATGTATTTAAAAGTTAATAACTTTTATATTTTTTTCTGTTTTACATATATAATATATCAAATTAATCATCTTTTTTTTCCTTCGATTTTAACATTCATATTGTATGTATAAAAAAAAATATTTTGATCTTTATAACAATAATAAATTTATTTTCTAATATTAATTAGAAAAATAAAATTATCAATTAATATATTTGTATTTTAAGTAGTTATATGATACAAGTTATACAAATTACAATGATATAACACATGTAAATCGTACAAGTAACAAGTGTTATTCTAAAATTATATAATAATATATATTTTTTTAAAAAAGTAAATAAAATTTAAAATAATTCTCATTAATTTTTTTTAAAAAAAATAAGAATATTTTTTTAACAAGCACTCGTGTAATAGACAGATGTTGTACTAGTTATTATGTATTTTAGAATGACATTTGTTACTTGTGTGACTTACATGTGTTATATTATAATAATTTTTGTAACTTATATCATATAACCACTTGAAAAATAAATATATTAGTTGATAAATAATTTTATTTTTCTAATTAATGTTAAAAAATAATTTTGTTATTGTTATAAAGACAAGCATAAGTTATTTTTTTTGTACATATAATATGGATGTTAAATCGAAGCTCATCAAGTGATAAGTGATGATCAATTTGATATATTATATATGTAATATTGCGGCTATTATTTTTATTAGTTGCATGATTTAAATTTGGAATACAATGTATTGACAAAACTTGCAGCTATTACCTTTATTAGTTGCATGGTTTAAATTTTGTATATAATACATTAAAAAATTATATTTATATTTAAAATTAGAATCAACAAATAATTATTCACAACTTACGGGTCAATATTAATTTGGACGTAAACGAAATACCCCCTTATTTATACTTTAGTAAATTACTCAATAACTTACGGGTCAATTTTAACTTGGACGTAAACAACATAGTGAATTATTTATAGTTTAATAAATTACTCAATAACTTATGGGTCAGTATTAACTTGGACGTAAACGAAATAGTAAATTATTTATAGTTTAATAAATTAGTCAGCTACTTAATTTTTTTGATTTGAATAGTTTATTCAAAAATAAATTATTTTATTCGTCGATTTGCTTTCAATCCAATAAATCTCATTTCGTTCCAGTCCCCTACTAGGAAAAAATTCTATTTAAGTGACGGCGGGATGGTTGGCTGTGGTTCAGTATATAGACTACTCAATATGATGACTGGTTTGTTTGGGTACCCTGGAGAGATAGATAAATAGACACATCCCATTGCACAGAAACAAAAAATGGATTGAGCCGGGGTATCATCATTCTTTGAAAAAGGCTACGCTCCTTTCTTTCGTTCTCTGACCGATCAAGATAGCTTGCAATTCATTGATCTGACATCTGATCCATCAACGAATTGAGCTATGCCAGGCCAGCCACGGATGTTGCTCTGACTGAACTACCGAGACTGACTGATAAACGAACCCAGGTTTCATCGAACTTTTCGGGAGCGATTCATCCTTCCCGAACGCAACATACAACTCTCCGTTGTACTGCGCTCTCCAAGTGTGCTTATGAAACAATATAAATTTTATATTTATACTAATCCTTCACTTAAATATAAGATAAAATTTTAACAAAATAGCTATATTTTAGAATCACATTATAGTCAAATCAATTATGAATAAAAATTTTGAAATAATATTTATTTTGAAACGAATATAATGTAATTTATTATCTTTTATGTGCACGCAGGTTGTATACTAATATTCAATAGACATTTTTATATAATTTGCACAATTTAACATTATATAACATTTTTAATACATTAATATAGGTAAACTGTATTACATATAGATTCTATATTTTAAATTTATAAACATTATAAGAATATGTAATTTATGAATGTTGATGAATATCTCTTACCCGCGCACTGCATGAGACTCATATTAGTATAAATATATATACATAGTTTTATTTTTTAAAAATAAAAAAATATTTTAAAAAATAAAAAAATAATTAAAAAATATATAAGGACCGAGTCAACTGAGTTGACCCAGTCAGGTCAATGCCCTGAGAATTGATATCTAAATTGCATAGTTTTTAAACTCGTCCTGAAAATCGACTCGGACAAGTTTTCGAGTGACCGAGAACTTTGTTGTTCGATCTAAATAACCTACTCGGACCGGTTTCAGTTCCGAGTCGACCCTCCAGGCCGATCCTTGTTAAAAAGAAAAACACTGTTAAATTGGGTCCGGTGCAACATTTGTAACATAGAAAGAATAGATGAGTAGACAAAGCCGGAAACACCGACTAATATTTGTAACATAGTTGAGTCGACGAATGAAGTCTCAACAAAAAAAAAATTGAGATCATTATCCTTAACTTATATAATAAAAATTAAAAAGGAAAAAATACAAGGATTGAGTCAAACGTAAGTGATGATACGTGTACATAGTTATACAATTACATGCAATCTCTCCAAATTCCACTGTCCCCAAATTTTTATTTATTTTTTTTTTTTAAAAATAATATAACTGATCAGCTATGCGTCTCCCTAAGCACAACTCTTCACCTGCAAAGGCCTTTTCTTCTTTTGCTTTCCGAAACAAAAAACATAATAATAATAATAATAATAATAATAATAATAATAATAATAGTTGTAAATTGAATTCTTAGGATTGTGAAGGAATGAAGATTGTAAGTCCACCGAGTGGGCCGGGCCGAGATTGGCGTGGTTCGCAACCGAGTGGGCCGGGCCGAGATTGGCGTGGTTCGCAACCGAGTGGGCCGGGCCTTCTCCACGGTTTTTGCTACAACTTGTGCACCGCTATCTCTTCCTGGTCAGCACTTTCTTTGTATATTTGCTAGCTTAGCTATCCATGAGTTTTTAATTTTTATAAGCAATTGAACATAAGTAAGAAAATGAAACATTTTAAATACAAGATTAATATAATCTTGTGGGTAAATTATAAAGGTTGTATAATAAAATAATAAGTTACTTTAATATGGTAGGTTTACTCTTCGTATATAGAAGGTTGGCTCCATTATAGAACCAATTGTTGGCTTCATAGCAAAATCGTTCCTCATATACATGACATAAATCATATAATGAAAGGTAAAATTGCAGCTTTTATGTGTTCTGCTGCTGCTGGCTTATAGAGGACTGCTTTGTGGGCCGTCGTTCTTTTCCCTCGCGGGCTTCGCCTATTTATGGGTCGCCAGAACCACCTCCACCGCCTCCCCCATATGTTGGACCTGGGTCTCAGGGTATGTTGGGTCCTCTTTTAGGACAGTCGGGCCATTCACATGTTGGGCCTGAAGCACACGGAATATTCGGCCCGCCCGGCCCACCAGGCCCAGTTGGCTACCCTTGAGAACTAGCGCCGTTCTGATTGATCATGCGTACACACATGTATGTAGTTCAAATAATGTTGGCTACTCTTTGTTTTAAATAATGTGAATGTTGTTTCAGTGCATTCTGTAAATTATTATATTTAAATACGAT